GTTTTATGTGTGTTATTGGGAGAAACAGCATCAAACCGTTGAATGGATTTTTTTTTTCTGCATTGGTCCCTGCTGCTGCACTTGGGATTGCGATTTTTAAATTGCACCACAGCCCCATGGCCAGCCTGAACCCTCAGCCCAGTTCACCATCGCTGGGACACAGCGGCATCTTTTCTCAGAGTTTCCTCACCCTAATTTCCCACCAGACCCTGTTCAAACAGCGTCCCCGCAACTCATCCTCCCAAAGAGGCGCTGGGCTCGCGCTCCAGGCTGCCTCGCGGAGGCCAAGAGCCATGGGAAACTCCAAGCTCGGTCAGAAAACCCCGGCTGATAAATGCCCAGGCCTGCAGGATCTGACTGGTTCCCACAGAAATCAAGAGTCTCTTGCACACTTTTCGAAATTAAAATGTGCCTCCGGTGTAACTTGTTATAAAAAATAGCAGCGTTTTATCTATCTTCAGTGCAGAACACAGATTGCATGGAGACGTTCAATTTGGAGTCAATTTAAATTTCAATTGTCTGTGAAATCTAAATCAATAGGCTATAGTTCAATGGCGCTCTAATAAAACAGGACATAACAGAGAAATCATTAGGGATTACATATGATAAGAGATTGGAAACAGTGTCTGGGTAATGGTAGAGAAGCCATTAGAGAATTACCTCAAGCATTTGCAAGTAAACCAACAACCCCTTCCTCCTCCGGAGACTAACAAGAAGATTTAATTGTGCTGCAGTGTCTAAAAATACATCTCCGTCAGCCTTTTGATTGGTAGACAATTTACAGTGACATAAAAGCACCAGGATGCTTCGCCGCTGCTCGGGGCACATCGGCTGTCCCCCCACCCCTTGCCCCGTGCCCCTCTGTCTCTGCACGCGGCTGGGATCTGGTTTGCTCTCAGCCTCAGATGGTGCAAGACGTGGGTCAAAGGGATGAATGAATTTCTGGGTATCTGAGTCCCAAGCTTCACCTTTTCCACCCCTGTCCAGCCGGGCTTCGCCGGGCCTCAGTTTCCCCAGCCGTTCCACGAGTGTGACACGTCCCTGCCTCCCCCGGGCGGGAGCTGGACCCTTCTCCGGTCTCACCAGGTCCCGGCAGCCTGGAGAACAACCTCTCCTCGTGGGCTGGCGTGACCTTGCGGGAGTCGGTCTCGTGGCCGGGGCACTGCATGGTGTCTCCCGTGCTCGCCTCCGGCCCCATGCTGGTGCCACACGGCCTGGCCAAGGCAGAGCCCCTTGCATGGGGCATAGTTTCATCGTTTCATACAAGTCGGTTGGGGCTGGAAGGGACCTTACAGGTCATCGGGTCCAGTCCCTCTGCACTTGGGCAAAGGGAAGCCAGCAGCATGTAGGAAGCACAAGAGGGGAATGTGTTTGCTCACAACAGTGATCGAGGTGGGGAAAGAGACCCCTTTTTCCTGGAGCCGGCCCAGCCCTGCAGCAAGGGGGATGTCCCAGCCATCCCAGACCCTCCCGTGGGCCCCAGCACATCAAAGCCGCGGGGTCCTTGGCTGCTGGTGCAGCTAGGGGCGGGCCGCCGGTTACCGAGGCTCTGCTTAGATGAAAGTTCGTGTCTAACAAGGCTGTGGGTTTAGGTGCTTGGCCATCTCCAGGCTCCCTCTCGTGCCACTCACCCAGGCAGATGGAGGGAGGAGGGTGGGCCAAGGCCGACCGGGCGGCGAGCCGATGCAGGACCATATCCCAGATGCACCTGCACCCTTTCAGATCAATGGGGATGGAGACCAGCAAGCTCCCCCTCCTCTCTTCCCCTTTTGGGTCCCAAACTGGTCCATTCGCCCATCCTCCCACACTGGTGCCCCCAAGCCCCAGAGCCAGCAGCTGTCTGCTGTAGCCACCTCGCGCCACGTGCCTGTAAGCAGAGGCCAGTCCCAGGGGAAATGCAGCCAGGACCCTTCATTTCTTTGGCTGCAGAAAGCAAAACCCTTCACCGGGTCACAGCTGTTGCAAAGCCCATCCCTGGGCCCAGCCGTTTCGTGCTGGCTGCAAGCACAGCACGTATGGGCTGAGGGTTGCATCCGCCATGCCCAGCTATGCTGGGCCAGTCGACTTGCATTAAAGCCTCACCCCTCCTTAGGAGAGAGGCTCACGGACAGCTGTCTCGAGCTCTTCATCTCAGCCCTGCTGCGGGCTATTTGCTTGCCCAGGGCTCCCAGCTATCATTTTTTTCCCCTGCTCAGCTCAGAGCTTTCCAGGCTGTTTCCTTTGAGCGTGGGGGAGCAGCTTGCTCCCCTCAAATTGAACCCTCCTGAAGCTACGCATGCTCCTGGGAAGCCAGCTCACCTGGGTCAGAGAGATGAAGGTAGATGCGTTTAGCCTGGATCATTTTTTTTTGTTTTCCCCTTGCACGAGATGATCAAATGAGATCAATTAACGGTAACAGAGTCCCTGGCAGGGCCGTTAGCAAGCTATTAATTGAAACGGAGCTAAAAAACCAGCTTTAATAGCTCCAAATCCCATTTGTAGCCATCGAGATGGGAATCAGGCAATAGAGGGCATTTGCATAATCAGGAGGTGGCTTTGCAGGGCTTTCAGAGGGAAACGTCGCTGGCTGCTGGTGGGGGGGCAAGACAGTTGCATGTGAGATGCGTGCGTGCATGTGCGTGCATGGGAGGGCAGTCACAAGGCTTAAGAAAAGAAAGGAAGAGGGAGCTCTTATCTCCCAGAGCATAGCGTGGGCACAGGTCACGAGTGGGACAGATCCCCAGATTCTCACCCAGATGTTGCAGCATTACGCGGGGGCCTTGAGATCCTTGCAAGGGTGCCACGGGGTGCATGCATGATTCACAAGAGAAACCCAGAGATCTTCAAACAGGAATCCAGAGTGTTAAAAGCTTTCCAGCCCACTGCGGGCTGAGCTCTTTGCAACAGAAGAATTGCTCTAGTATTTTTTCTGTAGTCGGGAAACAAGTGCTGGCATTTTTCCGAGAGGGCCTTGCATCTGCAGCCTCTGCCTTAAGGGTTCAGCCCGACAGATCGATGGCGAGGGGACCCGCAGAGCCCAGCAGGTCGGCTGTCGTCCTCCTTCCCGAGCACGGAGAGAACTGCCGGGTGTTTCTTGCTTCCAGCCAGGCACCGCGGGGGCTCAGGGCAAAACAGGCAGCTCTGCTCGGCCTGGGTGTCCGCGCGCGATATAAACCAGATTCCAAAGCGGAGATGAACAATTTCAATAGCAAACCGAGTGGAGTTAAGTGCATTGGAAAAATGTTTTTACAACCTTTGGTTAACCTGCAGTAACAGCTGCCGGAGCGCGTATAAATAAGGCCGTTCCGCAGAGGAGATGGGGAGCCGGGCTTTATTTTTAAGGCCGCAGTTTGGCTGCGGCATGGCACTGGCATCGGGGGAAATATTGCGCTCCGCTTACGGCATGTCACGTTTAATACTCAGAAATGCAGCCACTGAGAGCAATACATCCGCTCTCTCCTGACAGGCAGGGAGCTGGGGTGTATTTTAAAACTGGTCCCTCTTTGGGAAGGAAAATCTGGGCAGAACGGGGCGGTGGAGGGTCTCCGAAAGCATCTCTTGACGCCGACGGCTGCAGGTGCAGGTAGGACCCGCTGGGCAGAGATGGGGCGTCCGCACCCAGCTCTTCCTACTGTGGGTCTTGCCCTGGCATCGCTCCCGTCCTGCAGCTACCCCACCCGGGGCGATTCCTTCCCTGCCCGGCGCCTTCTTTCCAAGGCAGGAGCTGGCAGCGGAGGAGGCATCCTAGCCTGGATGCTCACGATGTGAAGGGCAACCGGGCACCTGGTTCTTGCTGCCTAGCCCCTTCCCTGCTCCCTCCAGCTGCCCCAGGGAGGCCGCAGGCTGGAAAGTGCAGCCCACCGCTCTCTGCCCAAGCCCTTCCCATTAACTCGGTGGCACTTGCCCCAGGAAATATATCCCCTGGAACAACCGCAGTAAAACAAAAGCTGTCCCCACCGCCCCTTCTGTTAGAAAAATCATGGCCCGGAGTGGAACCAGGGACACTCTTTTCTGCACCTGAAAATAAAAGCGTCATGCCGTTTGGCACTTCAGATCCTAGCCGAAAGGGCTCTGGAGTCCACTAAAGAGCGAGGTTTTAAGCTTGGCTGTTTAGAATGGCTAGAGATCCACCGGGCAGCGTGGAAACAGAAGAAATACTACAATGCCAGTGCTAAAACCTAATGAGAAATGGAACAAGCTGAGACAGAAGCTTAACAAGAAATACTAGACAAGTCCCCCAAGAAAAACTACATGCAGTATTGGAGAGGAGCTGCCAGCCATCTCAGCAGCCTTATTGATCAGGCCCCGAGAAATAAAAGGAGGCCTTTGGAAAGTAGATAAACGGGGAGATATACGGCGGGAGAGGTCCGGAACTGATGAAAACAGGAAAAAACACAGCTTAAATCACGGGGCAAATACACAAAAAAGAGGAAAGATAATAGGATTTGTGTTTATGGGTAAAGAGCAGAGCGAGGCGGAGGCGATCAGACACAACGGTAATTGAAAAGAGCCGGGGAAGAAATGGGATGCCGAGCGCCGCAGAAATATTTTCTTGGGACAAAGTGGGGTGAAAACCTGAATTAAACCGTCATTAATAGCAGTGTGAGACACGGTCCGAGGAAGGAGGTGGTGGGGAAAGCTGGGATGGAGAAGCTCCTGCTTTTGACTCCGCCGCACTCTTCGTCACAGGGTGTGTCTGGCCACCTCCATCCCCTCTCGGGCCCCGAGCCCGGTGCCGTCAGCTCCTCTCTGCTGCTCCGGCCTCTCTCGGTGAGACAGTCTGGCCAGGCTGGGCCGCGGGAGCAGACGGGCCTCGTGCTGCGGGCTCTGGCTGCTCGTGGCAAGGGGTGACAGTGCGGGGAGGACCGCAGCATGGGAGCTCCGCAGCAGCATCCTGGAGGTGCTCCCCGCGCTCCCAGGCTGGGGAAATGCAGGTGGGAGCAAGCACCAAGTCGGACACGAGCATCCACAGGGGAAAGGGGGTCGTTCCCCACCCAAGAGGGCACCTGGGGCTGGCAGAGGGGAGAGCGACGTGGCAGCCACTTCCTCCCCCCGGTCTTTCAGATCCCCAGGCCATAAAGTAGGGAAACGATACACAAATTCTCCGCTCCCCGGCCCCTAAATCTCAGCTGTCGCCGACGCGCTGCAAGACACGCTCGCCCACAGCCTGGAAATACGGTCCGGGCACAGGGATTTGTGGCCGCGGGGCTCAGTCTGTCAGCGCGCGAGAAGGCTCCCATCAGCAGCCGCAGGCCGGCCATTTGTCACCGCGGGCCGTCCGGGGGCACCGGGCTGCTGCAGAGCTGCGGTGGCCTGCTCCATAAAGGAGCCTGGCTGCTGTCGGGGGCATGAGGCCCGGTGCATGCCCCTGGCTGCGCTTCCGGCAATGCAAGCTGCAGGTGTGAGACCGGGTGCAGACCTGGCCATGCTGGGTGCCAGGCGGGGGCAAAGCCTGGCATCCAGGTGCACCCAGGACCCCGCGAGCATCACCGGTCCCCGGAGGGCAGCCGGGCAGTGCCACGCCACGTGCCAGGAGGAGGAGCAGGCAGGGATGGGACAGGCCCCTTCGCAGCCACCGGCCTATTTATAGCAACCCCGAATCTCGTCTCCTCGCGCTGCCTTCTTGCTCTCGCTGACAAGCGCTCCCCATGCAGCGGCTGCCATGGCAACGAGGCAGAGGAAAGGTTAGCGCTTTGTATGCACGCGATGCTAAGCGCCACACCGCGCCAGCCAGCAGCGCCGGTGGGCTGGGGGCTGCTCCGGGGTCCTGGCGTGGACCCCCGCAGCCGGCCCATGGGGATCCCCTGCTGCAGGGACACGGCACGGAGCAACCGAGTGCTTGTCGTCAGCTTGGTCCTCGTGCAGCTGCTGGAGGCATCAATGGGGGTTGCCGGGGCAGCGCCACCCCCTCTGCTCTGCCCGCCCTGACTCCCACGGGGACCCCGAGGTTTGGGGGTGCACCCATTCCCGAGAGCCCCCTGCCCACCCCTCGCACAGCCCCCGTGCATCACCAGCGCCATCCCCACGTCTCCCTGGTTCTCTTCGTGTCCTGCCCGTACGCAACACGGGGTCGTGCCGCCTAGCAAAGGTGGCAGCATGCAGGAGCCGTATGTTCACGGCGTTTCCAGCCGGCTGGAGTGGATTTCAGAGGGCCTCGGGCTTCAAACTCATGTGCTGCTGTCCTTTGCACACCCCGGGACAGGCCAGTGGCATTAGGGAGGAGGCCTCTGGCATTGCCTGGTCCCTTCATGCTCATCATCTCTGAGCTTGGCCTGGCAGGCAGCGCTGCCTCTCATCCCCTGTCCCTCCCCGGAGGAAATGTGGTGATAGCCATGCAGGAAATCCCTCCCCAGTGATGCCCTGAGAAACCAGCGTACCCGCACTCCCCTACGCACCCGGAGACTGGAAACACCCTGGAAGAGAGCTCACTTAACACTGCCCTGGATGGAGGGTATTTGCAGGACTGGTGAAGGGGAAGCCTTCATCGGCCGTATGAGCTTGGACTGCAGAAACCTGGCTGCAGACGGGACGCCGTGGCTGTGATCTAGGGTCATTTCCAACGGAGACTGCGCGGTGCTCAGGATGGGGGCACAGGGGACCACGCACGCAGGGCCCTTGCCACTGCAGGCACGCAGGGGTAGATGTCCACCCCACAACAGCACAGCTGAGGATGGGGAAGGAGCACCACTGACCGGCAGAGTGACCAGAGGGACGGCAGCGAGCGGCCAGCTGGGTCCACGATGGTTTTTGATCTCGTGTCCCACCCTGTGCTTTAAGGCCTTCAGGTTACCGGTGCCCAGGATTAGACACCAGCATCCCGGTGCCCAGCAAAGGGTCTGTGAAGGCTGCACAAAGCATGGGCCAGGTATTCTGGCAGGGCTCAGGATGGGGAGAGAGGGGGTGATATTTTGCTGCCCATTGCAGGTAAAGCTGGGAAGGATTGCTGGAGAGGCAGGGGGGGTTGCGGGGAATAGAGACCCTTCCCCAAATGCACGTGTGCGCATACAGGTGCTTCTCGCCTAGCGAGGATGCTGTCTAGCTCTCCCAAGCATGCAGTAGGACTTCCCTCCGTTGCAGTATTTGCCCTGCAATCACATGGGTGTCAAGGAGGAGAGCGGTCTGGGTGGGGGCTGCAGCCTGGGCAGAGTTAGCCCACGCTGTGTTCAGCTCAGAGTCTTAAAGCAGTTGAACCGCAAGGTTTTGTTATTCCAGCCTCCAGGGAGCAAAGAGTCAAATTAAAAGGACGAAGGCTTTGGCAAGGAATCAGCGGGACTGAGACCCATCTGGAGGCTGAGGGGTCCCCTGCGGGGACCAGGACAGCAGGGAAGTGGGGTCCAGCTGCCAGGTTCTCGCCACGTCCTGTCTACACCCAGGAAAAGTCCCCAATGGCCCATGGAGCGTGCAGCAGTGATGCGCCGCAGCAAAAAGACCTGGAGGAATGGGGTTTGGTATAAACAGTCCAGAGGAAGGAAAGTCTGGGCTGGTTTGGGCAGGGCTGATCCTGGTTGGGCAGGGGTTGGACTCGATGTGATCCTGCAAATCCCTGCTAGCCCCGCAGCTCTGGGATTCGGTGAAGCGGAGCCACGGCCCTCGTGGGGAGCTGGCTCTGCCCATCACACGCCGCCTTGGGAGCAGGGGGAAGGTGAAGGCATCTTGATGGAGTGGAGACCTCCTAAATACTGCATCTTAATGCAGCTGCCATGATCCCAAGTCTAATCCAGGATCAGCAGGGAGGCTGCTTCCAACCCCGGGTCATCCAGGGGCTTGTTCATTTAGGCATCAATGTCCCAAGTGATGCCCCTTCCCCAGGCAGGGTACTGCATGGTGCCTGAGAGCATGCCACGCTGTGGGATTACAGCACTGCAATGCAAGACCAGGAGCCTGTTTACTAGGTGGGTGGAAACTAAAGGGATTCAGAGCAATAGAGGTCCAGATGCACCTTGAGGGGAAAAGCGAATGAAGCCAACCAGCCAGTTCCAAAAAAGAGGAGCCAGGATTGACCCAAATCGTTGCGTTTCCAGAGGTCCCTGCAGGCGCACATGCTTACTACACACGTGTATATGCACACGCAACGAGGCAACTGGGGTTGCTCCCAGGAAGGAGGGAACCTGCCCCAGCCTCAAAGCTGCCAGCTGCCTGCGTGTCCCATGTAAAGGATGCAACATCCAGGGAGGAGGAGTTGTGTTTTTTTTTTAATAGGGCCCCATGGAGACATCAGAGCAATTTTCAAGGAGGTTTGAAGCCACCGGGAAGCTTATTAGATCCGTTCTGCGGAGTTAATTTGATGTTGGTAATCAGTGAGCAAGTTAAGCAGTTAGGGAGAGAGCGGCTGCAGGATGCGGGTCTGTCTGTTTAGCCTGCTCGTAAGCTGTGGTTACTAATGAGGGGCTCATGAATATGAATGAGCGATGATTACAGTGCGGAAAGGGCAGTCAGCAAACCATAAACTTCATTTTAATCTTTTTATTATCAAAGTCACGTTATTAATAGCAGACACTGCACCGAAACCGAGCTTCAGCCACCAGTGACGGGGCTGCCTTGCCGGCCCCCCCGGACACCTGGCCCCTCTGGACGCATGGATTGGGTTTGCTCGGTGCCTGCCAGCTGGTCACGGTATCTGGGCCTAGCCTGGCAGCGCTGCCTAGCAGAGGGGGACGCTGTTTGGAAACCGTTCAAGAGCTTTGTCACCCGCGCACGTGATCCTGTTTTCAGCAACTGAGACATTCCCATGTGACTTCAGGGAAGGCAACACGCTTCCAGAGCGAATTTCCCACGGTCCCGCTGCAGGCGAGCCTCCCATGTCACCCACCTGTTAACAGACAGCTGCTTCAGGGGAGGATTACCACGGCTGCTAGATCGCACGTAGCAACCCCCCAATTTTTTTTTATTTTTTTTTGTAATAATATATTTCGTGCTCCGGGTCAAATCAGCCAAATCAGTTCCAAATCGTATCAACGGAGCAGAGCTCAATCGTTCCAAAAGCCGCATCGGCTGAGCATCCTCCATCCCAGACCTGGGACTTCAGATGCTCCCAAATCCACTGGCAGGCATCCTACATGCAGGCCCGAGCTGGGAGGTCTTGGGGTTCGGTGCAAGCCTCCTCCATCCCTGCACTTGATCTTAGCCTACAAGAGCCCCCCAGATGCTTAGGACAGGAAGGGAAGACACTGCAGCGTATCATGACAAAGCGTGGCGTTACATGTCATCTGTGCCAGCTCCGGTGTGCAGGGTAAGCCAGCCTCCTGACACACACGTGTGTGTATGCACACACGTATGCTCACACTGTGCAAGCTAGTCGCTGCACCCCAGGAGCAAGGGTCTGTGCCATGTGCTCGCTTCACCCCCAGGTTGTGGGGAGGGCGTGCGCCAGTCCCTGCCTTTCTCAGGCCCCGTAAAGTCGTTTTCTTTCTGCTCTTCCTTTTGCATTTCCCTCTGTCTCCCCATTTAGAGGCTGTAGTGCCCAGACACACCGCCTGCCGCCAGCCTGGCCAGCCCGCTGCCTGGAAGGGTAAGGGCAGCGCCGTGACCCCCGTCGGGCCAGCACTCTCCCAGCCTGGAAGAAACACCTCATTCCCCACAAAGAGGACGATCCCATTGTCTGAGCATCTAATTAATTCTAATTATTTCCTTATGACATTCCTGATCCACGCGGCTCATGTAATGAGGCAGCGGTGCCCGTGTGAAATGCTGAAGCAGGGAATGTAGAACATGTTAAAAAATATTAATCTACAAATGAAAATGATTTTAATTGGATTCTGCCTTCGGGGTCGGGTCACCGTTACATTTTCAATCAGAGTTGTCCAGTCAGCAAAGCCGCCCGCGCAGCCTTTTCAAATTGAAACGGCGATTGGCTCGCAGAGGTTAATAGGAATGTTGGAAAATAAATAGGTTATTGATTGATAATAACAATAAGCTGACTCCAGTTCTACCTTCGTGACCTTCTCTCACCCAATCTGAGAGAAAACTCAGTTAGCATCTAATTATGGATCGCCTTACAATGCGATGTATTAATGAGAGCGCGGCGCTGGACCG